GTCGCACTTGTCCCTCTCCTGGGCTCTCGGAGCTGGCTCGGGAGAGGCTATCACAGCCGGTCGGCGAGTTGTCAGCCGGCAGCGCGCACTTCCCTAGTCTTCGGGCTGCTCCCGGGGCGCAGAAGCCGGGCGCCCGCAGAAGGGCCCAGACCGTGCGGGCCGAGCCCTCCTTCCGGTTCAGCTGCCCGAGGACCCGTTTCACCACTGGTTCTCTCCTTCTCCGGGCCGCGAGACCCCCAGGTGTTAGCCGCTGAAGGGCTCCCACAGTTTTTACACTAAGTTGCAGCAATGGACAAACCTCCCTTCCCCTCCACACCCCCAGTTTGGAGCAGTGGACACGCCTCAGATTAGCAGAGCAGGAGTCTAAATTCCGACAGCTGCGCTCCAGGGTGGGACCAGCATTTTTCCAGGCTTGACAAAGGAAGCCACAGGGGTTGGGAAGGGTGTGTGTGTGTGTGTGCGCGCGCGCGCGTGTGTGAAGATTTGTTTCCAGATGTGTTCGTATGACAGGTGGGGGTAGGCTATGTTTTGTAGGGCGGGGTGGGGGTAGGGGTGCTGATGCCCCTCCCATAGCTGGTGCACCGAAGCCCACCCCCAAAGGGAAAAGGCCGACCAGCAAGAGTGTGCAAGCTACGCTCTTCAGGGCTCTGACTTTATTGACAACCTTAACAACCAGGAAAAGGGAAAGCTGGAGTCTGAGGTGAGCCTCATCCTCAACGTTCTCCCGCCTCGCCGGGCTCGGCCCTAGCAGGCTCAACCCACCCTGGAGGGCGCCGTAGCTCTGGGAAGTCTGCTTGCAAAAGGCAGATGTCTTCGAAGTCAACCAAAGAGGGGGGCAGCGACAGCTTAGATGCAGGGGTGTCCTCTGCTGTTGCAAACAAAAGAGCAAAAAGACGCTGTAGGGAACCTGGGGCGAAGCTGCCCTCTTCCTTCCCCCCGGCTGGGGAGAGAGGAGAGTAGGGTCCCAGGGCGGGCCGGAGCCCCTGAGGGCTCTGAGCTCTGCGCAGCCCTGGATGGCTCGGCCTCGGAAGGGGCAGGTGAGGTCTCAGCTCCATCGCTCTGGTGGCCGTGGCCCCTTGGGCTCCGGAGATTCAGACGGTGGCTGCTCAGGGGCTGGGCGACAACTGCTGGACCAGGCGCCGGCGCTGGGAGGTTTTGCGCAGGAACCTCCGGTAGTCGTAGGGGCTGGCCGGCCCGCATGCCTCCTCCTCGGGGCTCCAGGCTCCGCTGCACCTGCGGAGATCCGGCCAGCGTCAGTCCCAGGCAGCGCAGCCGCCCACCTCTCCCGACAGCCCTGCCGGCCTGCGCGCGTTTCAGAAGGGCGGTCAGGTCTCAGGCTGAGACTTTTGCTGCGATTCCCTCAGGAGTCTGCAGAACAAACCCGGGACTTTGTGTGCAGGACGGTAGAGTGGGGAGGGGTGGGCCAGAAAGGCAAGGTTCCTCGGGACGGGAGTCACTCACAGCCAAGAGACAAATACTTACTCTTGTACCTCTATTTGAAATACATTTTTGTCAAACAGGAAATCTCAAGGTGCCTAAGTAGACGCTCACGTTTTGCATTTTAAAAACCGCTCCCAGTTTTCTTTAAAACATCCCACTAAATCTGACCAACCATTCGGCTAATGGTAGAGGAGGTGTCTGCCCTGTTAGCCAATGTTTTCATATTTTTAATGAGGCTGCTGGGCCAGCTTTTACCTGTAAAAAACGCCACCAACGGTTAGCTTTAGATTCTGCACTTTGCTTGGGGACGTGAGGTGCTCCCTAAAATGCAGGCCTGTAGAGCCATCCATCCATCCGTCTGTCCATCATCCATCCGTCCGTCCATTCATTTTCCACTCACTGTCAGGTACCAGTGGAGACAATGGACTAAAAAGTCCCTGCTTTCATAGAGTTTAAAGTCTAGTATGGGACTGGACCACAAGTCTAAAACATGAGGCGATGTGTTTAGCAAAGTGAAGCCGGCACTGGGATGCGTGGTGGTAAGCACAGAGGAAGAGTAGAATGGAGAGTCTGCCGGTGGGTAGGGCTGTGGAGGACAGAAATCAAGACTACCTGGGTTGTGGCTTAAGGCTGGAAGGATGCAGCTGTTGTTTAATGGGATGGGGAGAGCTGCAGAGAGGAGGGGGGAGGGTAAAGTTTTAGTTTTGGTCCAGCTACGTGGAGATACCCAGTTGGGCAGCCAGTTGGATATATGAGTCCTAATGTAAACTAGAGATTTTACTTCAGGAAATTTAAGTCCATAGATGATATTTAAACTCATGGGAGTATATGCCAACTCTAAGAAAGAGTAAAGGACTGGACCACTCCAATATTTTGAGATGAGGGATCAGCCAAGAACAACAAAAATAATCACAAAGCACCAGCAGCCTCGGAGGAGCCTTGAAGAGAGAGGACTGAGTGCAGATCCTGGGTAGGAGGGAACAAGCATCACTGATGACTTCGGCAGGTGCAGTGCTAATGGAGAGAGAAGTGGGTCAGGGAGGAAGAGAGGCCGAGGAGGAGGCAGTGCCTTCCACTTCCTACTCTCGCTGTAAGAGGGAATGGGAAAGTGGGAAAGTGGGCAGTCCCGGAGGAGGCCTGGGGTGAGGTTGTTGGTTATGATGGATCCTGATCTCCAGAAATTATTTATTGGATAAAATGAACATTGGAGATATAGCCAAGAGAAGGGACCAGTGCAGGATGATGCTCTCACACAGGTGGAAGAGCTTGGGTCAGGCTTGGGCTTAGGCCATTCGGGTCATGTATGGTACGCTAAGAGCAGCGTATGGGCGAACAGTCAGAGGGCAGAGACAGCTGGTGGTAGAAGTGTGCATCTATAATCTGTTGTAGCTTTCTCAGTGTCACAGACAAAAGGATGTCAGCTGAAAACAAGGAGGTATTGAGGAGCGGGAAGGAGGGAAGTCTGAAAGAGTGCACTAGGAAAGCAAGATGGTAGGTGTTTTAGGGAAAGAGAGCATTGCAGAGTAACTAAGGGTTTGCCAAACCCTTATACATGTTGTGTGGTCAGATACATATTTTGAGTGAGATTAGAAGAGTTTGCCTCTTGTCGTGTGCAGCCAAGGTTAGGTGGAGTTGGGTTTACCCTTCATTAGGGTTCACAGTTGAATGACTGAGGGTGGGTCACTGAGGGTGTACACAAATGACTAGGAATGAGGATGAGAGGAGAGGGCCAGAGCGTTGCCTGCTGTGGAATAAACCCTTTATTCGAGTCTATTCTCACTAGGAAAGAAAGAGAAAAAGATCATTTTGGCCAGGTCTTTGTGGGCATCTTGACCTCCGTGGATACTTGACAGGAAAAGCCTTGTGAAGGACCATGCCGGGTATCGGTGGGACTCTCTTTTGAGTTCTCTTCTGTGAGAATTTAGGATATGCACTTACCGTATGGCAGGTACATTCCAGGATTTTGAGGCCATCACAGGACTACATTTTTGTTATCCTCTGATTCTACACTGATTCTGGTTGATACAGTTTGTAAGCAGGGAAGTGAGGGTTTAAATGCAGGCTGCAGGCCCAAATCTCAGGCTTCTCCCACTCTGTAACTTTGCTGCTGATGCCTCTTGGACAGTTCTCTTATCCTTAACTGACACACTCTTGTTTCATCTTACTTTCTTCTGCATCTCCACATCTCCTCGCCACAGTGAGAACCTGGGTATCCCTTCAGCTCCCCACCTCCCAGTGTCCCCAACAGCAGCCCCCTAGTTCCATCGAGAAGGAAGAGTCATTCTCCACCAAGTGATTACCTGCCACCACCTTTATTTATTTAGAATCTCTGAGAGAAAAGAGCTCTCTGATAAAGAAAGGAAGGCAACTGTTTGTATCTGCAAATATAAATGACTTAGAGAATAGATTCACCAAGAAGGTAAAATAGTGCAGTGAAACTGTGAAACATTAATAAAAAAATCAAAGAAGATACAACTCAGTGGGACTATATTCATGTTCATGGTCTATAAGAATTAATGTTGGTAACAAATTCAATGCAATCTCTATGAAAATTCCAACATTTCTCTGATAGACTAGAAGAAACAAACCCAAATAATTCACATGGAACCACAAAAGGTCCTGAATAGCCAAAGAAATTTTGACCAAAAAAATGAAAACAACAAAAAACAACACAAGAACAAGAAGAACAAAACTGAAAATATCATGTCCCCTGCTTTCAAAATCTAGTATAAAGCTATAGTAATCGAAACAGCACGATATTGGCATAAAACAGGTGCATAGAACAAAAGAACAGAATAGCAGGTCCATAAACAAATTGTGCATTTACAGCCAAATTATTTTTTGACAAAGATGCCAAGAACACATCAGGCAAAGGCTGCTGGGAAAGCTGGCAGAGGCAGAATCCACAGGCAAAATAATGATATTTTACCCTTGTCTCGCATCAAATAAAAATTAACTCAAATGAATTAAAGATTTAAACATAGAGATGAAACTGAAATTTCAGTTTATCAGAAGAAAACACAGGGGGAAAAGGTCCTCAGCACTGGTAAATAATATTTTGGACATGACCCCACAAGTACAGGAGAAAAACCGGAGAAATGGGTTTATACCTAATTGCATATCTTCTGCAGAACAAAGGAAATAATTGAAATAATGGAGAGATTCCACATGAGTGGGAAGAAATATTTGCAAACTACATCCGATAAGGGGTTAGTATTCAAAACACAAAGGAACTGGAATAACTCAACTGTAAGAAAACATTCTAATTAGAAAATAGGCAAATAGCGATATTTCTGAAAAGAAAACATACAAATGGCAACAGGTACATTTAAAAACTGTGCAGCCTCAGTAATCGTCAGAGAGCTGTAAATGGGAACCACGAGGGATGTGGCCTCACAGCTTAGAATGGCGATGCTCAGAAAGTCAAAGGTGGCCAGCGCTGTTGAAGAGGATGAGAAAAAGGAACCCTGCACGTTGCTGGTGGGAATGTGAATAGAACAGACAACACGGACGCGCTTCAGAAATGCATGTATATACCATCTGACCCCAGATCCCACCACTAGGGATATATACAGCAGAAATGAGACCAGCATCTCAGAGATGCCTGCACTCCCGTGTTCAGTGCAGCCTTATTTGCAACAAGGTATGGGATCAGTGTAATTGTCTATCCGTGGAAGTGGATGAAAGGACACAAAATGTGCTTTGTACGTGTGATGGAATATTGTTCACCCTAAAAGGAAATCCTGTCATTTGTGACGACACGAATGAAACCAGAGGACATTTTGCCAAGTGAAATAAGCCAGATACCAAAAGACAAATACTACATGATCTCTTTCACATGTGGAGTTAAAAAATGTCAAATTTATAGAAGCAGAATGGTGCTTATCAGGGGTTAGGGGCGGAGACCTGGAGACACCTTGGTCAAAGCGGGCAAAATTTCTGTTCACAGGAATATTCAGGAGATGTGTTTCACTACATGGTGACTGTAGGTACAACCATATTGTGCACTTGAAAATTGCTCAAAGAGCTTATGTGCTCTCGCGTCTGTCTTCCTTGAATGCCCAGCTCTGTGCTTCACGTAAAGTGGCCACGGAAAGTCATTGAAGTCATTGACTCTAAACTCAGAGAGTCCCCTTGGTAAATTTTCTGTCCCTGTCTCTTGTAACTGAAGTGGCTATTTGCAGTCACTAAACTTTGTAGACTTAGCCTGGTCATCTATAAAATAGGGAAATAAGGGTAACTGCTCCACAGAGTTGCTGTGAGGATTAAAGGACATCACAGCAAAGTGCCCAGGGCACAGTAAGTGCTCTGCCAACATTGGCTGCTCGTATTCTTACGCTAGTGGACACTAAGTACATGAGCACAGAAGTTGCTGGGGCCACAGCCGGCGCCTCAGGGAGTCAGTGCTTTTATAACAGATGTTCCTGGCAGTGGGAAAAGAGGAAGAATAGATTGGGGCAGGATGGGCTGTTCAGACGGAAAGGAAGCGTTCAGTGAAAAGCACCCGAGCACAGTGTGCAAACTCTTGGGTTACAGTTCACTAACTACAACCACTTAACTGGACAAATCATTGACTCTTTCTGGCACTTGGTGTTCTCCCAAACCAAGTAGTTAGACTAGAACATCTCTAAGCTCCCACTTGCCATAGGTCTGGATTCCAGGATGGAAGACTACAACTTCTTTATGGAGATAAGGGATAGAAATCAGAGTTCAGGTAGATTCTGGAAAAGCAAATAAAGATGAGAACAGCCACTATTTCTGCGACACCTCCCTGTGCCATCTAGACCGTTCAGTGCTTTATAATTTCATTTAATCTCCACAGTGATGCAGCGAGGCAGTTAGCAAATCTGTTTACAGATTTGGAAACTGGGGCTTTGCGCGGTCAGGTGACGTGAGCAAGGCCACTCAACGAAGGAGCCTGATCAGGATCTAAGGCTAGGACGGTCCGACTCTGAATCCTGTGCTCTGAGCGCTCAGGCCACACAGAGAAGAGGGGATGACAGGGTCTCAGAACCCTAGGCTGGGAGGACACTGCCTGAGGATTCTGGATAAATAGCTTCCAGTTGCTGTCTTTGCTGCCATTTGTCAGAGATCACTCTCCAACCTTTTTATGCACAATCTCAAAACATTGTAAAGAATTTGGGGGAAAGAAAACAAAATCCCCAAAGTAGTGAATAACCTGCAAATTAAGTTAGTTAACATCACAAAATTGGTGATACGGTAAGAAATCAAATTGGAAATGCATACTTTTGTATGAATTTTTCTCCAAAACAATTTTGCCCTGACATCCCTGATTCTAAGAAATTATAAGTATGGCTCAGATACCAACAACTAAAGCACTCTTGAGAGCTTAACATAGAGTTTAGATTTGGTATGTAGATTGGTTAGAATTAGAATGGTCATATAATTTATTATGCAAACTGAGATACTGTAAAAGGGGGTTTCAATTACAGTAAGAAAACAGACATTAATTTGGATTTTTCTAGGCAAGCTGGAATGCCCAATTATGATATTACCATATTTGTGATTTTACTTTTACACAACATATCATCCATACAATGTGACATTCAGGGAGAGCACTGTGTCACGAGTCTACACATAAAGCAAACGGAAGTAGAGTGCACAGCTGAACATGCTATGGTTTCACCCTAGTTTGTTGGTACCTTTCATCAGCTTTGAAGCTCGGGTTCTGGAGCTCCCGCTGTGACCTTTGCTCTGTTGAACTAGGGTGATGGTCCTCTGGTCCAGTGTGTCTGGGCAGAAACTCCTTATAATAGAAATCTTCCAAGTCTAATAATTTTCCCTGACTGCAAATGAACAGATAAACACACCATGCCGTCAGTCTAGTGTGCCACTCGCTCACACTTACAGGACACTTGCTTTCTCTCTTTGAAGTATTTACTATAACTTAAGAGTTAGCACATACACGTCAACAAAAATGAGAGGTCTTGAGATGTGTAAAAACAGCATGTATGAAAATTAAAAAAAAATAAGCCTCTTACTGCTTACCTTGCGTAGAGTGTCAGCTGCAGAGGCAGCTTTTTCTGGTCTGATGGGGCTGAACTTGGCACGGAACTGTTAGCTAAAGGGATGGACAGTGGTAACAGGTTCCAGTCTGGCCATGTGGGACCAGCACTCACAAATGGCTCTTGGGCCAACCAGAAAAGCTGGCCTTTGTGCATGACCTCAGAACATATGCAGATTTATCGTCTACCAGTACCTGGACACACACAGGGTTTCATGGCCTTGATTTACCTCCTTCACAGGTAACCTTCTGGCCTCTTCATTAGGGGAATGAATATTGCATGTGACTTTAAGTCCCACATGGGACATGTACACAGGGATGCGTCCTGAGCCATACCGATTCTTGGACCTACTCAGGCCAAAATGGGTCTCCCTGTGTGCTCAGCACCTGGACTCTGATGCGACTTCTTTGGAGGTAAACAGGTTTGGAAATCTACCAGGAAACATGTTTTTAAAGGTCAGAGATACCAATCTGCAAACGAACTTCCAGAAGGCCACTGATTCATGCATGGGGAATGCTATGCTCCTCAAGCTTAACAGAGGAACCTTCTTTCATGATTCCCACTGCCGCCAAATTAACTTGTATGACTCCTGAGTAAAACAGTGACATGTATTCAAACAGTGAAGTGCTGACAGATTGAAATATTATAGGAAAAGACAATCAAAGGAAGTTGAATGTGCCACACCTGCCGGACACACACCCCTTGCCATCCTAACACATCCGTAAGAATTAAAAAACGTGAGACTTGGCATGCACATGCTAAAAGACAAACAACAACAAGAAAAAAAGATTTCAGAGGAAGGAAATGTGTGGATATGGGCATGTTCAAATTCCCCAGTTAATATCATTCAGTGTGCTGAGAAAAGCACATTCTATATTGTGGAAGCATAATTCATTCAAGATGTATTTGAGTTTGCAGTGACTATTTCATATAGTCCTGGTCAAGATATTCACAACAGACCAGATCTTATACATTATATATCAACTACCCATGTACTACATAAACATGTTGAGAGCACATTCTCCCAAATGTATCCATGTAAAACATGATTTTGAGTTTGAACCTATGGGTTTATATTTTTGTTTGAACGAAATGACTCTTGGAAATCTAGAAATAGTAATTACCTGTCTTTCCTTGGTCTTCGTTTTTCTTCCTGGATTGACTTCTAAAGGGAATAGAAGAATTTAAAAAGATCTGATGCATAGTAATATGTAATGATAATTATGATCTTATGATAATTATGAAAGAGGGAGGAATCGGAATAACAGATTACCCACTTACAAGGTTAGTTAGTAATTCCCTAAAGGTCACTTAGTATGTGATTCTGTGCAACGCCCCACAGAGGCAAATCTATGGAGACAGGAAGTGACCATCTAGGGCCCGGGGTCACCTGTCGGAATGGGGAGTGGCTGCCAGTGGGTAGAATTTTTTGGAGTGATGAAAATATTATAAAATCGAATGAGACTGCTGTCCTAAGTGACACTTAGTTGCATATTTTAAGTGAGTGCCTTGTACAGCATGTGACTTTTATCTCAACAGTGTCACGAGATCACCTATGTATGTGCGTCTGTAGAATACGTATGTCCATGTAGAGTATGTGAAAAAATAGACAGTTTGATCGATAGAGGTAGACTGGAGATAGAGAATCTAGGCCAGAGACAAAGATTGAGAAATCAGCGGTACTTGAGGTCACAACAGCTGATGGAACTGTCCGAAGAAAAGGAGAGGAGAAGACACTACAGGACTGCATTCTGAGCATCACCCCAGGGGCCAGTAGTCTTCTGAGGAACAGAAGAGAAATCCTGCGGGGAAGGGAAGGACTAGAAGCCTCTAACTTTGAAGTCAAGGGCAAGCTTCATTTTCTACCACCGCGGGGAAACTTGTTTCTGACAAATTCTCTGGGTTCCGACACACTCTTCTCTAGGTGCTCCCCGGTGCAGGAGTGCAGCGGGCACTGTGGCCATGGAGTTCAGGCCTGGGGATCACTGGGTGCCCAGGTCCTGGGACCATGAGAGGTCACCGCTCACCAGGGAGGTTCTGAGCAGCTAACGGCGGTGAGTGGAGATGCAGCGGCAGCAGAGGAGACTGAGGATCAGCCCAAATCCAACCAGGAAGGTTCTGGTTGGCATCTGGAGTTTACTCTGACTGAATGAGTTGCTCAGCCATTAAAGGGACAGCAACAGCAAGGTGGGGACACAAATCATTGAGAGACATTTTCTGATGCAGCCTGAGGAGGATAAGACCGGCAGCAGCTAGGTGGGGCACGAGATACTCCGAGGGGAGAAAGCATGGTACTTGCTGTGAGGTAAGAGGAGGAGGATGACCAGAGTGAGCGTTTACAGGGGGAGCTGAAGCCCAGAGCAGATGATTCAGGTAGCAGGTTTGCGAGAGGGAGAAGATCTAGGACGATGAGCAGTGGGTGACAGGGGCGTTCATGGACAACAGGACACAGGAAGGAGGGAAGCCTAGCAGGGATGATGTCAACGAGTTCTCTTGCCACCGGAAGACCTTAATAAAGTTAAGGCCCCTTGGGCTGGGGATTTGGCTCAGTGGTTCTGCCACCTGCCTTGCAAGCACAAGGGCCCAAGGTCGATCCCCAGTATAAAAAAAAAAAAAAAAGAAGTCAAGGCCCCTGACCTGATGGCTAAGACACTTATATCTGTCTCTCAGAGTGCGCTGATGTGAGATATGGCCTGGACAGTGAGAGCCAAGGCCCGTCTCTAGGAACAGCCCCTCTGCTGTGGACACACCTCCTCCTAAGCCTGCAATGAACCAATGTTCAATAAACCTCCACTTTTTCCTTTTTTTCTTTCTCCTGCTGTCACAGTGATGATTTACTGTAAGGTCCCTGTCTGGAAAGATCCTTCCTCAGAGAGCTCCTGCTGGGTTGGATTTCCTTTTCTGGGCTATTTGCCTCTGAGTGCAGAATAAAGTGAGCAGCGGAAGCTGCTGGGGGGACACAGAGGGGACATGACCACGGGACAGGCCTGGAGCAGGAGGACGAAGCCTCAGGAGTGCAGAGCACCCAGACCTTCGGCTGGGGAGATTGGTGGGGAGGAACCTGGACGTCTCCGGTGTGGGCTGGCTTCGGAGGACGCCGTGGCTCCCGTCTGATAATAAAAGAGCCACTTACGTGGAGTAGGTAGTAGTATGTGGAATCTTCAGGGTTATTTAATGTTTTGGGTTTCCGCGGTCTTCTTGGGGGTCGCAAAAGCTTTGGCTCTTCTCCTTTGGAGATACCTATGAGAAAGGTGATCATAGACAGGTGTTTAACTACCATGACGGATACCCTGTAATATTTTCCTTTCAAGGTAAACAGGAACTTATATACACACAACCAAGGCTACTGCTGGGAGAAAGAGGAAATACTTCTATCCACCCCAAGCCAGCCCTTGTCACCTTTCTCATTACGTGCCCTCCTCGACTGTCTGCGGGTCTAGGTCTTTCAGAGCCAAGGGGCAGGGAAGGAGAGGAGGAAAGCGTTGGAGAGTTCGGAGATGTGGAGTAGAGCACAGCATTTCACAGGACAAGGAGAGGAGTCGAAGCTGGCAGAAAGACTTCCGAAAGGGTTACGGTACCACTGGTACCTCTGCTGCCCCTTCTGTCTGTCTCCACAGTGGCCCAGGCATTCGAGCAGCGGGAGAGCTTCCGGGTGGCCTGCCGACTGTGTTTGTACAGGAATGGCTGCTCCACAGCCACACTGGGGGCAGGGTGGGAAGGGCTCTTGGTGCATAAGGCACAAGGGCTGCATTTAACAGACACCAGGCCAGGCATTTCGTGGTGGGACTTTGACAGCACTATAACAGGAGGTCTAATGAAAATATGCTGAATGTTAAAATCAAAGACAATCATGACAGTAAAAGACACGCCCTGACCTATGTAGAAGAGCTCCCCTCACTGAGAACACTGCTCCCATCCTTCTTGCCAATTTCAGAAAGAGCTCTGGAAGCCCTCTTCCCTGCGTTTCTTTAGTTGCACAGTTCTGGCTACCCAGGATCAATTCAAAATCGTTTACCTTCCATGGTCACTGTGACACTGGCAAAGAGCCAGAAGTCACACAGTGCCAGATCCGGTGGAGCGGGTGGAAGAGGAGACACCTCGATGCTTTCACAAGCTGCCTTTTGATGGATGATGCACGTTGGTAGCATTCACCACCACGTGTTTCATCGTGCCTCATAAAGACATTCACAAAAGAGGACTTCCTGAATTGCTTTTCACAGTGGTGAGTACGATGGGATAAGTGTGTTCAAAGCAGCTGGAGTAAGTATTTTGAGGAGGATGGATGGCAACGTGTCTTTTACTGTAATATGCTTTAATTTAAAAATGTGAGCATTCACCATATATTTTGATCATGCCCCATGGAGCCTTCTGTGTAAGCAGCCGTGACTGGCAGTAGTGATGTGGCGTAGGGTACAACAGCTTCCGTGGGATGAGGACTTTCTAGTCCTGTGCCCAGCCTCTAGGTGAGCATATTTTTCACAACGGCATTCACGTGCTAACATCCCCGACTCATTCCTTCCCAACTTTATGGGAAATTTCTGGACGACGAAGGAAACCATGGAGTCAGGAGTACTTTGTCAAGTGCAATGCATTGAGCAATGTTAATCAGAGAGAGAGAGGCAAAGCAATCATACATGACTGTCCTTTCCTGAGTAAATGGAGAAAATCAGGTTCAGTAGTTGTTAATGAGATCACGTTAGCATAGACTAGCAAGAGTGAAAGCAGTTTTCTAGTCTCTCCCTGGAGATTTATCTCGAGTCCTCTCTCTCCCTGCTCCACAGGAATGGACAGAAGAAAGGAGGGAATCCAGACAGCCGAGCCTTTTCAGGACCTTTGTACAGACACAGGCACGGGCACATGATTGTAAAGCTTTAATTCCTGCCACCATCATAGTGTTTTTTTAATTTTTTCTCTTCTCATTTATCATCTGTCCCAGTGCTGATTATTAAGGAGATTCTATTAACTTTTGCAAAGTTATGTTGTTTTTAAAGTGAATTGGTCATATCCACAAAGCATAAAAAGATAGTTATCAAGTTATTATATATTTTAAATATTTTTAGAATCATTTGAACGGAGGAGCCTGTGACCAAATTTTATCTTGACTTTAATATTTAAAATGTGAATTAAAGCACCAAAACATTACTATTGTAACACAAATTAAATTGAAGATTGCAAAGAATCCAAGTAAATGTCATGAAAGTTGAAAAAAAAAAAGCTGGGAACTAAGGGCTTCTTGGTTTTGTCTCCACTTTGCGGCATCCTTTTTCCATCTGATTTCCATTACAAAGACTACGGAAAACTCCCTCCAGAAGTGAGGGTGGCCTCCCTGGCAGGGGCAGCCTGTCCTCTGCTGTTACTGTGTCTGACTTCCTCGGTGCTAAGCTCTACAGAACACACCTTGCTTTCACTGCAGAGGCAGAGCCAAATACCTGAGCTTACATATTTGTATGTTCCCAGCATTGAAGGGAATATTCAACATTAAATATGCGACTCCGAAACGTTTGCTAGATGAGCAGGTTGCGGCCCCATGTGCCTGTAATCCCAGCCCCCTGACAGGCCGAGGAGAAAGATTGCACTTTTGAGCTCAGGCTGGAACAACATAGTGACTTAGGGAGGCCCAGTCTCAAAATAAAAAACAAGGACTGGGGACGGAGCTCAGCACTAAGGAAGGCCCCGTTTGGATCCTCCACGCCGAGAGAAAACACGTCCGCAAAGTGAGGGTGAGATCTTCCCCTGCCTCCTGGACGGCACCGTCCTCTCCGGTCCTGAGCTTCCACAGGCTCCTGACCTGGCGTGGCCTCCTTCCACAAGAGCTCCGCCGGACTTCTGCAGCTCGGCCTCCCCACTTCAGCGCACCAGTGCTGATCCCTCTTCTCCACCCGAGTTTCTGCTCACTGCAACCTCGGTGACAACACTGTTACCTCTTCTAGGAGCAAAATATCGGTGACACCTGTGTCCCATCCTTCTGCATTTCCTGGGGATGAGCAATCGTCGACCTCTGCGACTTGTACCACATTCCTCGACACGTGTCACATTCATCTGCTGCTTCTTCTCAGCTGTCACTGCCACCACTCCGGGGCAAGTCAGTGCTTTCATAATTGTGGCAGTGTCATCTGTTTTCCACACTTTACCTCACAAATGAAATCCTGACTTTTTTTTTCATTCCTTAAATACTATTTCACTTATGAAATCCAGTTTCAAAAAAATTTATAAGTTGTCTCTTTTAACCTTCTTTTTCAAGCTTGAACTTCCCCTAGGTCCAGGTTACCACAGTGTCTGTGGTCAGATTTATCTCCCACTTCCGCTCTGCACGAATTATCTCCACTGCTCAGCCCAGTTTCTGTATTAGTACCCCGACACACTGTGTTCACAGCTCTAACCGTGTTTGCTCTCATTCTCTCTCACAGCCCAGCTGAACTCGTAGGCACCGAAGTCCAGTGGGTCCAATGCCACCTCTTCTGGGAACCCTTCCCTCACTGCCCACGGGGCTTCCTGTCATTAGTAACTGTTGGTTGTATCTGCCGCTTGAAACCTGTTATGGGATAAATTGTTTCCCCTTAAAATTCTCATTTTGAACTTTTTTTTTTTGAGACAGGGTCTCACTATGTAGCCCAGGCCTGGCCTTGAACTCAAGGTGATCCTCCTACCTCAGCCTCTCGAGTGCTGGGGTACACCATCACACCTGGCTCCACATTTCGCAGTCTTAACCGTATCTCAGAATGCGTCTGTTTGGGAGTCTGGGGCCGTAAAGGAGTAACTAAGATAAAATGAGGTCATGAGAGTGAGACCTAATACAATCTGACCAGAATTTTCACAGAGAGAGGAAATTTGGACACGGACATATACACAAAGAGAGGACCATGTGATGACCCAGGGAAGAAGGAGAGACACTTGGAGGAGATCAATCACCCTGACTCTTTGGCTTTGGACATGGAGGAAATAAACCTCTGTTGGGTAAGCCACGCAGTCTGTGGCCCTTTGTTACGGAAGCCTTGGAAAAGTGATGCAAAATAAAACTCTGTACTTCTTTCCACTTACTATTTTTACCCATGCTGTGTTAAGTACTTGGAACAGAGCTTTTGGAGAGAGGATATCATCTTGGTTTCGGTGTCCTCTTGCCTTTCACAGGGGGCCCTGTGGCAGGCACACCACGGGTGGGAGCATGTGAGGGGCCTGGAGGTGCTAAGAGGCTCAGCGAGTAGCAGACACTCTCTGTCCTTTCTGTTGACCAATCACCAATTGTCACCATGCATAAAAATACATTCCTGATGCTATAAATATAAATGTAAGAGTCAATAAAACTCTTGATAAAAATTGGGGGAAATTCACGAACACTCAAGAGGTATAAATGTCAATTAAAATTCACAAGTCATAAAAGAAGTTATATATGTTTGCTTATTAAAAATAGATGATGGGGGCTAGGGATTTAGCTCAGTGGTTTCGCAGCCTGCCTCACAAGTACAAGGAACCAAGTTGGATTCCCAGCACAGAAAAAAAAAAAAAAGATGAGGGGCTGGAGGTGTGGATGCTTGGCAGGCATGAGGCCCTGGGTTTACTCCCTATTCTGAAAAGACAACAACAACAGCAACAAGAACACAGTTTTTATATGGCAAGGAAATCAGAAGACACAGGGTAAACTTGGAAAACTACATTTACTGCACAGATGACAAATAAAGGGCTGACGTTTTTAGTATAAGAAGAGTGCTAGTGTGTACAAATGTACTAACAGAAAAATGGGGCACACATATAACTAGGAGGCTCAAGAGAAGCAAATTAAAAAAGGAAACAGGTGTGCGAAGGGACCTGAATTAGCAAGCAGACAAAAGATATAAGTTAAAGCAATAATGAGATATCGTTTTACTCTAGACACATTAAAAAGAAGGGTAACATATCCAGATACAGTGTCAGAACAAGTGTGACCTCACACATTGTTGCAGGAAATGTCAATTGTTAAAAACTTTTAGGAAAGCAAACCACCAAAACCAAAACTATCTTTCAGCTCAATAACCTTAACCCTAAGGTTTTAGCCCATAAAATTAAAATCCCAGGATATAAGAATATTTTTGAAGAGGTTTTACTGTAATTTTTTTTCCTCATTGAGTTTATCGGTACATTCTAGGTAGACAGGACAGTTACATTCATCACTGGGATCTTGTACCTTCACATGACAGGTCTTGGTTCTCATTTTTTTCCCTTGTCCCTGCCCTCCCGTCACCCCCCTCTCTTCCCCCTTTACAAAC